TTCCCACCCCTTCACCTGAGGACGGAAAGAGGTCCAGTTTCCGAAACGTCGTTTCTCCATTTTCCAGAACAGACAGTAATTCTGTGTGTTATACACCATCTTCAGAGCCGTTTAGAATCCACCCTTAATCACTGTTCTCCCCCTTACAGTGAGAGGCTCAGTTTCATACGCATACAAAAATCGGGCAAATTTATCGTTTTTTACAACTAAACTTTAAGAATTTTAGGTAGCAGATGGGAAGAAACATTGTGGACTTAGTGGCTGCAACCATTTCCCGTGTTTATCCATCTCTTAATTAATTTTAGAATGTAATTTTGATTTGTTATCTAATATATGACTGTCATAACATTATGATTTGGCCTTGTATTCTTCTAGCGACACACAGGACTCAGTTCTTTCCGCACGTGCTTCCAGACCAACCTATTTAATAATACGTATTAATGTGTATTAGCATCTAATTATTACGTATTACTTTCACGAAATTCACGCCTTAATATGATCTTACACGTTCATGCCGTGACTCGAAAACAAGGCTAAAAATATAAGATTTGAGGTTTTCACGGCGGTGACTATGAAGAAAGCAGTCTTCTGGGATGTGGCGCCTTGTAGATATTGTGTTAACAGGCGTTTTGGAGGAATTTACCCCCTCCATCATCAGGGTAGAAGACAAGAAGAAAGCGAACCAGCGTGAGCAGGTGCAACAGACTTGTATTCTACCCTGAAGATGGAAATAATAAGTTCCTCCGAAACGTATGTTAACACATTATCTACACGGCGCCACATCCCAGAAGACTGCTTTCTTCAAGGCTAAAAATGTGTACCGCCACAAGTGTCTTGCCTCTACTTCTCTGTTGTTTTAGAATAAAAGGAATTTAAAGCATTTAAAGAAGATGACATCTGTTTTTTTCTTATACTTTTTGTAACATTTATCCTGTTCCCTCAGCTAATATCCAAAAATACCACTCACTAATACCGCTGTCTGTGTCCCATTCCACAAGAATGCACGGAACATAGCTTCATATACGCCCATCTGCTCGAAATCTGCATTTATCAGTTAAACGTGAGCTTCTTTGCTGTGTGTTCAAGTGTTTTATGTTCCGAGCTACCACGGGGTCATATATATTTCTCACAAACAAAATCCACAAATAGACACGTTCTGGATATGTTGCCAACACAGGTTTGGATTTAATTAGGACTTCATATAACTTCCGCCCATGTGGTTTGCAGTACACAGAACCTGCAGGTGATACGTGTCTTGACACGCTCCGTATCACAGCAGCAAGTAACGAATTTAAGAAATTTGATACTGTTCTGACAGCATACGTAAAGATTTAAGTAAAACAGTATGATTTTAAAATGATCGTTCTACATGCACAAAAAGTTTTCTTGAGTACGACTCAAATCTTAGTGTTTTAAAGCCTGAATATAATTCAAGAAACTATTTAAAGCGTCTCTCATTTTATCTGCGTGCTTTCACCTGGTTATTTTAGACTCTCAATTTTCTATGCAGTTGCAAAACCATATTCGCTTTTTATCATTGATTCTCATGCGTGATCAAATGGCCATATGCGGCCACGGGCGAGTTTTCATGCACTCACGGGCCCTTTTCATTAGGTTTGTTCTGAAAGCACGTTTACAGTGTTCCGACGAATTTTGTTCATACCGTCTCCTATTGTGGGTCTGTGCTATATAATTGCAACTCTTCGCCTTCATTTCTTAAAAAAAAATGACAGCTACACCAACAAGTCATCTGATAAAAACTCCTTCTATTATTTGTGGAATTACGACTGACAATTACTAAACGCCTCTGCGTAAAAATAATTTCATTTTCCTTCCCTTTGCATTAATTTTAAATTAATAACGGTCTTATTAGCCCTGTTTGTTTTTACATGTAACAATTGCATAGGCTAATATCTGTTATGTGGCCACGGAATATACTAGCATTTTAACGCTTTTTATTCCGGACACGTGAAAATTTTGCCTGAAGACCAACTATTATGAACGATGTTGCAGTTCGCATGTCAGCCCGAAATCTGGTGCCTTCATGTTGGATCTCTCGGCCCACGTGTGGGTGAAGGAAGCAGAAAATTGCATGTCGATATATGAATTGCGTTTCAAACGCACGTTTCGGTCCTCGGATTTCCAATCCCTCTTCTGTCACAAGTTGTCACGTGTTAGTAATTAGACATGGGGTTTGGGTTGGTAACTGGATTTATTGAAAGCTTATAATTCGTAACTACAAATTACTGTAACAATCTCAACGAATTACTCACTCCAAATCACTACGACTACAGCACATATAAATTCTTGTTTGTACCCTAAATGTTACCGGGTAGCGGTTGCCAACAACACAACTCAGGGTTTCTAACCGCGGACTCTTACCTCCAACTGATTAACTCAGAATCTAAGTTACGTTACGACTGGCGGTTTACCACCAATTAGTTCGTCTTGGCGTCAAGCCCCTTGAGACTCAGCAACAGAGATTCTTTTTACACCTGAACCCTTGCGATTATAGCCCTTATTTAACATCCTCTCTGACGAGAAGATGAATGTTCTTGTCTCTTATTAATATTCTTACCCTTTCTTCAATGTACATTTCGCACATATAGCATGTTATTGCAAATTCTTACTTTTGCACTATGTACAAGTCTTCTGTCAGTCCAGACTTCGAAAATAAAATGATACCTCTAGAATTTCTCCTACAACGGCGGCTTAGTCACTTAAACGGTCGTAACCTTGACCACCGCCAAGTTTAAGACTCTTATGTTTTCTATGTATGGCTTCGCCTTGTCCTATACAACTAACATGTTCATTCTCATGTTTTTGTGTGACTTATGCTCGTTGCCTGCACAATTTTGTTACATAACCGCATACATACGGAAGGTTGAAAGCTGTGTGCAAATCGCTGACCGGTGTGCACCTTGGAAAATTTCCAATGGTGCAGAGAGCCTTTCTCTACAGGCGCAGCAATTTTAAGAGGCAGGTGTCCGCCCTCTAATTTCCAGGCGGGGAAAGCATAAGTCATTACTGATCTGTTCATTGCTTTTCCCGTTGGTTCTCGCTATGTAGACTCGGCACGGACAGCATGGAAAATATCGCTTCCAGCAGTTTCTCTGTTGTTGCGTGTTGATCTGTGGCTGCTGAAAAGTATTTACCGCGTCGTTGTCCAGAAACGACCCTCTCTTCTTCTTCTGCTCTTTCGGCTCTCAGCCGTCATGCCATATTATAAGAAAAACATTTAATTATATAATAAAAGTAAAGTTTCGCGTATTATCGCATTCCTTTGTAGGTCCGGATGTGGCACTCTTTAATCAGATGCGTGTCTATTTTCATAGAAACAGCTATGAATAATTGTACTATTAGCAATATTTTATTGTAGCGTCATGTTTTGTCATATTATATTCATCGTTTTGCTTCCGTCAACACAGTCTGTTTACAGATATAAGTTAAGATCTCATAATATGTTTCAGCCTTTCAGACATCATCAGCCATTGCACACGCCCTTTGACTTACCTGCTCTTTTCCTTACCTTGGCCTAGTTGCACCCACAAGAACAAGTCTGCACTACAACACGACATAAAAACTACACCATTCAACAATTCTGTATTTGTCCGTTATAATTAAGGTATTTTAACTAATAAGAAATGTCATAACAATATATTTTCACTTTAATACTTTAACATTGCAACTAAGATGAGTACAAGGTCGTTACACTAATACGTAAATGACTGACAAGGAAAGTTCCCATATTCAAATATTGATCCATGGAGGGGGGGGGGAAAGAGCAGATAAGCCAAATATGCATGTACAACACTTGATGATGGCTGAAAGACTGAAACATGTTATAAATTTTACCATGCAGTGCACATGTATATATAATTTTTTTTCATTGGCGCTACAGCCCTCATTTGGGCCTAGGCCTACCTCCATGAAACTCTCCGTTTCACTTCGGTTTACTAGATCTTAGATATATGGTAGGACTCCTTGGGCGGGTGATCAACTCGTCGCAAGGCCTCTACCTGTAGACAAACACAGAAAAACGCACACAAACATCCATGTCCTGAGTGGGATTCGAGCCCACGATCCCGGCTTCCGAGCGAGCGAAGACAGTACATGCCTTAGACCGCTCGGCTATCGTGACCGGTTACATATAAAATATAGTGGAAGCGAAATAAGAATAAACAAATTTGGTTATGTTCCGACATTTGCAGGTAAAGACGTTTAAGTTCTATAATAATAGTTCAGGCCCTGTTCATGTGGAAGAGTTTAAACGGACCGTATATGTCAAAATAGATTTCCGGAGCTTGAGTTTCTCACAGCGGAAACTATGAACGCTGCTGTCTTTTGGGTTGCAACGACGTGTATTTCGGAGAAGAGCCCGAACTTTCGAAGGAACATATCGCCTCCGTCTTAGTTTGCCACCTGCTCATGTTCTTGTTTTGCTTGACATAATCCTCGACCCTGAAGATAAAGGCAAGATATTCCTCTGAAAAGTTGGACTGTCCCCGAACTACACGGTATTACAACCCAGAAAATCGAACTCTTCTTATTTCCGGAACTTATTCTACTTCCTTTTGAAAACATAAGTTGCATTTGCTTTACAACATCTTAAGCAGCTATAAATATAATTACAGCTCACTTCTGCTGCTTCCGTTGCAACTTCCTGTCTCTTCTCTCGCTGGGGGACAGACTTAATTGCTTCTGGTTGTTTCATTTCAAGATCCAAGAAAGTTCAAAAGAGATTTCGGATACAAGTCTTCCGTTTCGTTAGTTTTCTCTCACTTCCCCTTTTCCTCTATTATTTCCTGTGTACTTTGTCAAATTTGTACTCATGTTTTCGTAAATAGACATTTTAATTAAACTCTTCACAAATGCCGAATTATACTGTGTTTATGGTGAATTCTTTAACAAGAACTTGTATAATTGTCGGCTGTAAATAACATTCAAATAAATAATTATTTGTCCGCTATAATTAACATGGCTTTTAATTCTGGTTTCAGGTTATGAAGGACAAAATCACTCACAGGGCGGAAATACGAATGGTGTTGACGGAACTTCTAGTCTTGACTGTCTCAGCCTCATCGTGGAGAGCATCAGCACAGGAGCCGCCGCTGTGGCTGGCTTGTTGCAAGGACAGGGGCGGCCTTCAGCGAGATTACATGAAGCTAGCAAGCATGAAGATATGGGATAACACGTGGATCACACGGCGCCAAACAATAAAGTAATCCAACAATGACAGGCTGTCATTATTGGAACGGTGTTCCTCGCAGGCTACAAACGAAATACACGACGTTTCTCTTATATTCCGCAATCCCCAAAAATCAAAAGAACATGTAGAACAATGAAACCTTAAATACGCGCATTATTTTAACACATAATGGGAGAGTGATCGAAGGCATATAAACAAATAATTTTAGACATAACAATCGAAGCATTTAATTTCACCCATACAAAACAGTTCTAAACTCTGTGTGAATACACCGTAAGACTGCGAACTTCGTTTCAAAAGAACGGTATATACTGCAGGAAGTGTGTTGCATTGTAATTTTTTCTTATTGCTAGTGGGGTGGGATTAAGTCCCTTGTATTGCGGCCACTTCTGGTCTACTGTACCAGCCCCAGATGATAGGTGAGGGTGATTGTGGACCAATTGGTGGAATAAAGATT